CCGAATGCCTCGGATGAAAAAGCACCTGAGAAACTAAGAATGAAGCTGAATTAGTTTTCGAAAAAATGCATGAAGGAGGATTACACCAGTTTCGCTTGTCGGAAAGGACTGTGATTGTGATTAAAAGAATCGTGAAACCGGCAAGAAGTTGCTCTGCAGGTATGCAATTGTTATCGGTTTGTCGGCCATCAAGTGGAAGTAGCCGAAGCCGGCCGTCATCCGCATGCTCTTCAGTAACTAACGCTCAGTCGACAACTGGTACCACTGCTGCAACTAGTACCACTTGTGCTACTACTACTGCGGCTGCTGCTAGTACTATAAGTACCATTGCGACAAGTGAAGGTTCATTTGCACTTACTTTAGTAATTATTCCTCCGAAATTTTACAAATATTAGGATGAATTTCGCTTTTGAAAAACTGCCAATAAGCCTTGAGTTTTGAAGCAAAATTTTATCATTCATTCATATACACGCGTACACAGCGTACACACGCAGCAACGCTCAACCAACTGCATATCTTAACGCATAGACGTTTCAAGCCTCCGTCGTTTTCCAATCTCCTGGTCAAGGATGTACACTATTTATATATTCTTAAAATTTTCATACTCAGGGTTTATAAAATGGGACGCGCAGCGTAGCCTTCGAGAATTATCAGAAATATCAGGTGCTCCAGGACTATTGTTTTGGAGCTCTGGTGTTACCAAAACACACCAGCGTTTCAGATGCACACCTTTACTGTTCTTTTCCATCATGAACTGTTCTGATTTGCACAAGTTATGAAATTTGCCGTAACTCTGAGCACTGTCCGAATGCCCACTATCGTTCGACACGGAACAAATTGCTTTGAGCTCCTTGCATAGCCCCAGCGGTGTCAATTTAGCAGAAGTGGAAGAGACAGGAAAGAAGAGAGAAAGGAAAATGCAACGAAACGAATGTGGCTTCTCAGCCTATAGAGAAAACAAACTAAATGTTTATTATCCTAATTATGTGTGATTTTCCGGAGCCTTCGAGGTCTAGTTTCTGGATGTTTGATCCAGCTGAAAAAACAAGCGACCAAGCTTTGTTTAAGATGTTTTGGTGATCCGCGATCCGTTTGAAGAAGAGGACGCGTCTCGAGCACGCTGCTCCAGAAGTAATCAAGTGATACACTTCAACCAGCGTCCACCACAGTACATCAACACCGGCAATCCACTACATTTTGGCGGACTGCTAGATTTGCCAAGGTTTGAGCTAGATGGCTGTTTCTTTTATAAGCACAAAAATTGTTTCTGCCTGTTTGCCTCACTTTTTTTAACTCTTGAGCGGAGTATTTCAGTTTTTGTATTCAGGTTTTTTGGCTGCATGGATCAGCTTTTATCGCCATACTTTGATTTATTAAGGAGAGTGATAAATCAGA